GGGCTCCTGGCCTTACTAGTAGTAACAAGAAGCTATTAGTAACAAGAAGATTTGGCGGACTGGCAAATTGGACTGTTCGACTCTCCAGGACTGCTCCCAGCGTGGAGGTCTCTTGGTGCCAGCTATTGGCATTGAGCCTTAAGCAACTCGGTGCAAATTCTGACGGCTTTGCCATGTTTTTTTCACTCATTCTTTTTATACTGGATTTTGGCTTTGGCTACTTTGGGCAAGGTTTGCTAGTTCCCCACATTCTTCTCTGGGGCTTTAATTTGTACTCACCATGTCGTCCTCCGTCCCTCCATCTCCCCACTCAACATGTTCTTGTCGTCGCCGTGGTCATTTTAGAAACCCTTCCTTGGTTTGGAACTCAGATTCGTTTCTCGTTTTAGACATCTTGACCCGAATGTCAATCTGAATGTCCAAGCTGCATTCCAGGAGGAATCAACAGTATTTATCCTTGCATCCAACGCGGTGGGTAGTAGCCTGTTTTTTGGGGCAACTTTTCTATGGTGACCATTCTTCCCCAGATAGCGAGAGCTATTGGGGTTCGGCGCCGTGCGCGTTTTTGGAGCCTGGGTGCTGGTGCAGGGTGCCGCTGCGAGATGTCTATGGCCGTGTGTGCTTTGCAGGGTGTGGTGTGCTGCTCCCAGGTGTGTACGGCCGCGTGCGCTTTGCAGTTTGGATGTTGACTCCAGGGTGCGGCTACGAAGTGTTTGTACCCGCAAACCACAGGGAGAATGATGCTTGAAGCCAAGAAAAGCTTCATATTGGCCGCGGCTGTTTCCCAAACACAAAGCCGGCCACCATGCCATAGTTGCCTGACAAGAACAGGACAGGTTTTGCGGATGGCAGCTTACCAGCTTACTGGCTTACCCTGTAGTTGAGTGGTAGAAGTCTGAGAACTCTACGCGGTGACTTCAAGCCCGGAAACCTTTGTGAAGCGCTTGAGTGGCTCTCAGGGAGACGGTAAAAGAAGTATAAACACGCGCTCTATTTTTGGACACTTTGATACATTGTTAGGTGTGTCTTACCTGCATTTTGCAAGCATTGGATCGATATACTATCCCCTGAGCAGGCAATGTCAAAATACATGTCTCATGATTGCACTTTTTGCATCAGCTGATTGTAATGGCTTAGCTCATTGTAGAAAATTCGTTCCGTTTTCAATGCATATTCTAGTTTGCCACTGCTTTTAAAATTTTTGAAATTCACACTTGCGTGTAGCTTGCGGGTGCAAGTTTTATGTTCACTGAAGTTCACAAAATGTCCCGTGGCTCAAGTTGGTGGCAATCGCTCACAGGATTGCACCTGAATTCTGAAGAAAACTCCCTAGTACATCGGTATTTGTTGAACACGACGCAATGGCGCACCCGATGGAAGAGGAGTATGTGATGATCGAAACTTTCAGAGACGCCCAACCAGATGATGGGGATTCGGCTACGGTCAGTAGCCTGAGCCTGGCAAGCCCCAAGGTGGTCCGTATGCTGGCCTCCTTGCTGAAGGAGCTCTTCACACATCCCTTCGAACAATACCCACCTTTCCTGCCGAAATCCCCCTGGTGGGGTTGCAGTGACGCAAGTGCATCGAGGACTGGTGAAGCCTATGTTGGGGGCTGGCGCCCAGCCTCCCCCAACCCCACCAAGGACACTGTCCTGTGGTTTCATTATGCCATCACAGCGGACGCACACCCTTGGGCATTTAAGGATGGCAACCCGCAGAAGCGTATCGCGGCTTTGGAACTCCTGGGCACTTTACTTCTTTGCAAGCACCTGGTGGCCCAACAGGGCCAGCTTCCGGGACGTGTTCGCCTCCCGGTTGGCAGCGACAACTCGGGCAACATCTTTAGCCTACTCAACCTCTCGGCCAAGAAACCTTACGCCTTACTCGGCCGCTCTGCTGATGGAATTGGTTCTTTTCCTTCATTGTGAGGGCTGTAGCATTGCCCCGATCACGTCCCCAGGGAATACAACACCTGGGCCGATGAATTGACTCATCCGGACTTTGAAGGGTTCGCCTTAGATTGCCGGCTACCGGCCCCGGAGACCCTCTTTGTTTTTCCTTTTGCCACAAGACTTTTGTCTTCGACTGGCTTTTCTTAGGTACCCACCCAAGATCCCGTGACCGGATCCGGTGGGCTGTCCTCCCGACCCTGTCCCCTGGCACCTTGACAGGTGCCCATTGGCCCTGGGAGGATCAGGGGACGCTCGGGTGTTTGGCAGCGGTGGGCGAATCCTACTGCCTGACACACCCTTGTCCCCCTGGCGAAGCCCAGGGCATTTTGAAACTGACCAAAAGGTACAGGGTCTGGGGGAGGACCCCAGCATCAATCAAAGCGCATTTGGAAAAAGCCTGCGTGCAGCTTTTTGCGCTCTTGGGATCTTTTTGACTTCTGGGTACATTAGGAGTTCTTTAGGATTCCAAATTATGTCCATATGGAGGTATTGTTGAATACCAGTTTGGTTTTAAACATGTGCAAAGTTTATACACTTAATGTGGACCCCTAAAAATGTAGAAATTTGAGCGGTCGAACAAATAGAATGGTTATGCTTTAACAACTGTGGGCCCCCTGAACCATGCACAATCTCGAGGAATGACTGTGCATTAGCAATTCCAGATTATATATCCATGTGGAGGTTCATTGTAGAAATATATTTTGTTCTCAATGCATTCTGTATTTTGCTGCTGCTTTCAAAGTATGAAAGTTTATTTAGGGCTCCAAATTCTGTCCATATGGAGGTATTGTTGAGCTGAACATGTAAAATTGATATAACGTGGACCACCTAAAAAATGTACAATTTTGACGGGGTCAAAGATAGATAGTGTACATGTTTTAGGCGTCCACAGTGTACATATTCGCTCTAATTTTTCGACCTCCTCGAAATTGTACATCATTTTTTCCTTTTTATGAACCTGGTGATGCAAAGGATCCGATGATGAGAAGTACAGTCAAACACAATTGTATGTATTTTTTTTTCAAGTTTTCTCCCACGCCCACTCCTTTCAGACACACTTCACGATCCAGAATATGCATTTTCATTCCCCAAATGAAAATGCGCACCCCTAGCTAAAGCTATATAGCAATGAATGCATAGTTACAGTTTAACGCCTCAGCACCTGCCGTGCAGGTTTTCGATGAAGCCTGGTGACATGTCAGTTAAAATGATGTTTGTGTCATACGCCGCTCTTCTTTCCCACCTCCCCTCCGTTTTCATCCGGGCAGGCAGCTTACGTTTCCGATTTCACATGACAGACATTTGAATGACTTTTTTGGTGGCTTAAGGCGGGGGGCACTTGGGCATTTTAGGACAAGGTCCGTACATTGTGCATTATGTTTGCCATGTTCGTCTGTTTTCTCCACCCTTTGGTTCCATACTGCAAACTGTTCATTACTATCCATCATATTCATGTTTTCTTTACTGGGAACACAGGCAACCCATATGAGGTTCTCTAGTCTTAACTTGCCAGTTTCCCATATTCACACCGCTTTGTGGCGAAACCGCCCGCGCAGAAAACACTTATGCTCCCTATTGCAAACACGCACACGCTTTCAGTAATGCAATTCTATTCGGGCAGCATAACTAACATTATCAATAGTTTTCTTGTGTCGCTTCCGGGAAGGCCACAGGGCAAGCGCACAGGATGTCAATAATGCATTTTTACTCGGGCAGCGTAATTAACATTGCCAATGATTTGCTCGTTTTTCATATGTTTTTAACAGCCTCAAACAACCACCCCCCCAAAGCTAAAGCTTTTTGAGCGATCTGGCAATTACAGCGGCTCACGGGAACTGGGACAAACTGTGCACTCTTTCCGTCTTACAGTGCACGTTGGCGATGGATTGAACTTATTTTACAGGGTCTCCCGGGAATTGGATCTGCAGCCTACAGGCTTGTCGATTTCGACGCTCCCTGTGCCCGGCTTGTTTTGAAGAGGCCCGAGCAAGAGCCTGTTCTTGCAGTGGGACGTCACAAGGAGTGCAAACACATTTCTCTAAGATATTTCATATCGATTTAATCAGCGTTGTGTTTGCAGGACTGCCATATCCAACTAAGTGATCTTCGAGTATCAGTGAATCACTTTGACATCATGGTCCAGAAGCCAAATGCAACTGGTCTTTCATGTGCTTGGTGTTCTCTGTATACTTTGAGTGCAACCAAACTTGCCCTCAGCGCTCTTTGTTGCAATCTTCACTCTTGCTCAAGGCAAGCAACACCGCAGAAGATGGTTTGCACTTGGAGTGCCTTCACCTTCATCGCAGAGAAACTCTTGCTTCGTGGTGCCTTTCTTGATTGAGTTGATTGACGAATCAACTTCAGGTGCATGTTGATTGACCGATCTTCCAATGGGACCTTGGTGAATGGCCACGTGGGTGCCTTAGAGCTTAGCTCTCGGGAACCACATCTTCGTACAGAGACAATTGATTCTGAGGTAGTTGGCAAAGGCAAATGGTGTCATTTACACACCGGAGACGCAATTGAAGTGCTGCCATCCAGCAGGCCGGAATTGCAAGAGAACCGACGAACCCATCAGGTGGGATTTGAGGGCATCTGGGAAACTCTCTCGATTCTCTCTCTGGCTCTCAATGTAATGACTTGGTTTCTGCAGGGTTGGAGACGAAGAGATGACGCTTGCTGCTGATTTTAGTGCTTTCGATGCAACTTCCTGCCTCAATCATGAACTCAAATTGACATGCAAACATGATTGCACTTAATTTTTTGATATCGATGGACTTGGATTGGAGCTAAGGATTGCATTTCTCTTCAGAAACTCCAGTGAACGCCTGTCTGGTGTACGGGTGCTTGGCAGTCATTTGACTGGCTTTAGGCCTCTGGCATTTACAAGGGAAGTTCATTTAACTTGGCCTGTGGTGCTTTTGATTTATCATTGCACAAAGCACACAACAAGCAAACGTTTCGTCAGGCTTTTCTCACTGAAGCATCGAGCTAGCTTACTTTGGAAAACAATAAACTTGAGAACAGAGTGTAGACAGCATCAAGAAAGGATTTCTACCAGCATTTTCCATTCCTTCATTTTTGTCAACTCTTGACTTCTCAAATTCCAAAGAAGAACATGGAGGTTTGAAGAATGGAATGAGTGCACTCGAGCTTCAAAGATTTCGTTGGGTGAATCAGCGCAAAAGTCCAAGAGAAGCAGCTCAAAACAGCCTGATAACACACTTGAACCACATGAATTTTCTGTGCCATCATGGGGAACGCATGCCACTGCTCAACGCAAGAGGCGGGCAACGGGGAAATGAGTTTGAAATGGCTTCACTTGACTCACTCAACTTTTTTCTTACAGTCTTATTCAAATTGCATGCGCGCGCTTCACAGGACAGATCGCTGCTCAACCTGTCTCTTGGAAGAAATGTAAGAAAACTTATTTGGAGCTGTTCCAAGAGGGCGTTTGACTTGGAAAGACACATTCAACGTAGAAAGTACATATTCCTAGATTCAGATTCCTGTTCACCCGTGCGCCTTTTCGAGGGATCAGAAGGTCGCCGTGGTGCTTTGCGGGCCAGTGGTGGGTGCTGTCACGGACACCTCGGCCAATCTGCTGCTGGAGCTGGACCGCGATGCTGAGGCGGGCACAGTGGAAGTGCAAAGTGCCACCAAGGGAGGCCATCGCTCTTAGGTTGGAGGTCATCACTCTTGGGTTGGAGGCCATCGCTCTTAGGGGTCCAGCTTAGTGAGCCCCGAAAAGAGTTGAATGACGGGGCTCATACTGCTGTCATCAAAGTTTGTTGCAGCACTGGTCTCGGCTTGCTTTGTTGAAAGGCACAAGGCACATGTTTGCTTTCCACGACAACCTGACATAGGTCACTTGTATTGCTACAGCGCTAAGCTACGGTGACCAAGAGGTGGAAGTCCGCCACTTGGATTTGATTACGATGTGCTTCGAGTTGCGGCGATTACATAGAGTGAAAGCTTTGGCTTAACAAACTTTTTAAACAAGTGATTATCATTATCATGCTCAGGTGGTCTTTGCAAGGCTTTCCTGGCAATACGTTCATTCTGTGGTTTGACCCGTTTAGGCTCCCCTCTGATGGCTGGTTTGGTGCTTTTCTTGTCCTAAGGAGTACGGCTTTTCAAAGAAGATCCTGGAGTAATCATGCTTCGAGGGCTGACCCCAACGACGACCTACCGGATTTCGTGGAGACCTCCACTGCGCTTTCAAGGACGCACAGATCGATGCTCCGAACTTCGAAGTCTAGAGAGTCTAGCAAAGAAAAAGAAAAGCTAGGAACAAGTGCCACGCTAGTAGTAACAAGTGCCTTACTAGTAGTAACAAGAAGCTACTAGGAACAAGTGCCACGCTAGTAGTAACAAGTGCCTTACTAGTAGTAACAAGAAGCTACTAGGAACAAGTGCATCGCTAGTAGTAACAAGTGCCTTACTAGTAGTAACAAGAAGCTACTAGGAACAAGTGCCACGCTAGTAGTAACAAGTGCCTTACTAGTAGTAACAAGAAGCTACTAGGAACAAGTGCATCGCTAGTAGTAAC